CGCTCTCATTGGTCGGGGTTTTTTATTAATAACTCCTTAACCACCCCTCGGACAACTTTTTCGCAAAGGAAAATGTTGTTTAGAATTGCGTCAGGAACCTCCCATTTCAATATCTTACACTAGTTCTGGGACACCCTGTATGTATTCTGTTTCTGCGATTTGAAACTTGTCTACGATTTCGTTTAAAAAAATTCCATTGGGATATTTAATTTTATTTTGTTGGAAGAATATTTCTGTATCTATGACTACTGTTTCCCTATGGGATTACAATTCTCTGTACAAAACGCTTTCTTAAATCTATCCGCCCTTAACCTACTCTTAATCTACCTTATCTCTATTTTGCAACTAACAGTTCGTTCGTCTCTTTACTCTCTCTTTCCGCTCTTTCCTCTGTGTTTCTGCTCTCTTTCTCTCTCCGCCGCCTTCCTCCACACCCTCTCTCCCATCTACTATTCCTCTCTCCTCTAATCCTCTACGCTCTCCTTCTCTCCTCTCCTGGACCTCCGCTTCCGTTCCTTTCACTCCATTCTTCCTTTCATTCCTTCTCTCCCTTCCCCTCTCACTATCCTCTCCCTCCCCCCTCTCCCTCTCTAGTTTCTTCATCCAGCTCTCCCCCTCTCCCCCTCCCCTAATATCATCCTCATCTTTTCCCCACAATCTCCTTCTTGCCTTTCTCCTCCCATGCATCTTTCTAAAACGTGTTCCCACGTCTCCTCCTCCTCACCGCAGACCCTGCACTTTCTTCCTCCCTCCGTCTCCGAGTGTTTCCTCCCTTCCATTTCATTCCCTAGCCTGTACCTCGCTACCCTCCTCCATCTCTCCTCTCTCCATCCGGCCATCAGATACCTCGGCACGTACTTTCCGTCCTCACTTCCTTATACCACCTATTATATCTAGATTCCTTTATCTTTCCCTCCCTTGTCTCTCTTTTGTTCTTCCCTGTCCTCCCTTTCCATCCTCTCGTATTCCTCTTCTCTGCCCATTTCCTCCACCATTCCCCTTTCTCCCACGAAGCTCCTTCTCTCTTTCCTTTCCTTTTCCCATTTCGACGCTTCTTCCCCCTCTCTGCTCTCTCTCTTCTTCACCTCTTCCCAACACCATCTCGCCACTTCCCCTCCCTCCCCTCTCCGCAACTTCTCCTCAAACCTCCACGCCCTTTTCCATGCCCTTGTTCTCATTTTCTCTCTCTTTGTCTCCTCCCTCACCATGTACCCCGGCGTCCTCCACTCTACGCCCAGGGTCCACCTCAGGAACCTCTCCTGCACCCCCTCTATTTCTCTCCTTTCCTTCCACTCCCATATTTCGGCTCCATATCCCATTACCGTCCACACCATAGTGTCGAAGAGCCATACCCACCGACTCCATTTTCTCCCAAACTTCCTTCTCCCTATCCCCCATACGCTCTTCATCACCACACCTGCCTTCTTTGCTCTCTCCCTTATCTGTCCCTCCTGTCCCCCATTTGCCCTAAACACATACCCCAAATATTTGAACTCCTTTACCTCCTCTATCCTCTTTCCCTTCCACCTCCACACTGTTTCCTTTGATCTCCCCCCTCCCTTTCTGAATCTCATTATCTTTGTCTTTTCCACGTTAACTATCAACTTCTTCTTATCAAAATACGGGGACACGGACATGGCTAATAGCCACATTTGCAAGTTTTTATTTCTTCAGCGCTACAAATATCGGTTATTAATTTTGTGAATAAATAATTCGAGTTTGTAGTACAATCAACAATATCATTGTCAATCTCAAATATTGTACATAAAATAGCGCCTCGTTCTTCATATATTGTCTTATTGACGTTGTTTACAGCATAATTTTTCATAAATGTTAAAAATATATTATCAGAATTTGTG